AGGAAGGTATTGACTATAATGAGGTTTTCTCTCCGGTAGTGAAGCACTCTTCGATTCGGATTCTGCTAGCTTTGGTGGCACAGTATGATTTAGAATTAGATCAGTTAGATGTGAAGACGGCATTTCTTCATGGTGATCTTGATGAAGAAATATATATGACTCAGCCATTGGGATTCCGAGCTGCAGGAAAGGAAAAGTTGGTTTGCAAACTGAAGAAATCGCTATACGGTTTGAAGCAGTCTCCTCGACAGTGGTATAGGCGATTTGATGGTTTTATGCTTGGTCATTCGTACACTCGGAGCCAGTTTGATCCTTGCGTATATTTTCGCAAATTGAGAGGAGGTGCGTATATCTATTTGTTGCTTTATGTCGATGACATGTTGATTGCCTCTACTTCTAGGTCGGCTATAGATGAGTTGAAAGTTCAGCTTTCAAATGAGTTTGAGATGAAGGACTTGGGTGAGGCGAAGCGCATTCTAGGGATGGAGATCGGCAGAGACAAGAAGAAGGGCAGAATTTGTTTGACACATGTGGCTTATTTGAAGAAGGTTCTACAGCGATTCTATATTAGCATGGATACGAAGCCAGTTGGTGTACCTTTGGGAGCCCATTTGAAGCTTTCAGCTAGTCTTTCACCGAAGTCAGTTGAAGATCGTGAGTTGATGTCGAAGACTCCATATGCGAGCGCGGTTGGGAGCTTGATGTACGCAATGGTATGTACGAGACCAGATTTGTCACAGGCGGTGAGCATGGTATCGAGATACATGCACGATCCAGGAGTGGGTCATTGGGACGCCGTGAAATGGATTTTGAGGTACATTCGAGGTACGCTCAATGTTGGTTTGGTTTATGAGCGGGACACTACAGGTGAGCAATTGTGCATTGGTTATGTTGATTCGGATTATGCCGGGGATTTGGATAAGCGCCGGTCTACTACGGGGTATGTGTTTACTTTGACCCGTGCACCGGTGTGTTGGAGATGCACCTTACAGTCGACGGTAGCTTTGTCTACGACGGAGGCAGAGTATATGGTAGTTACGGAGGCTGTGAAGGAGGCTATTTGGCTTCGAGGACTTTTGGAGGAACTTGGTATATCGCAGAGGTCTGTCACTATTCATTGTGATAGCATGAGTGCTATCTATTTGGCAAAAAATCAGGTTTTTTATGCGAGAACGAAGCACATTGACGTTCGTTATCACTTTGTTCGGAATGTTCTTGAAGATGGCGATGTGGAAATTATGAAAGTCCACACGAAGGATAATCCGGCGGATATGCTCACTAAGGTGGTTCCGAACAACAAGTTTGATCATTGTAGAAACTTGTTGCACATTCGTGATTGTTGAGGCCGTTGACGACCATTTGGTAAACTATGTTCGGCTTGATTCCTTGGGCAAGAAGATACGTAGGCAGTCTTTCAGATGTAGTCGGTTTAGATTAGTTGATTTTGATGGGGGTGAGATTGTTTGGACTCTCGTTCGGGTTCTCGACTTGTTATGGATTGAGTTCGTACTGGTCACAACAAGTGGGACATTTGGATACTTTGGTGTCGGCTCAGTTTTGAAAGAAACTTCACCGAGGTGGAGAATTGTGAATGAACCCGAGAAGGCCCAGGCCCACGATGATTTTTTGACGAAGTTGATTGTTTGAGCCGCGTTTTTCAACACGGAACGCCTGCCTATATAAATGATATGTTATTAGGGTTTTGTGGCAAGCAAGGAGTTTGTTTAATCGAGGCTGCGACAGAAAACCACAGCAGAGCAGGAGATTTGATTTTCGGCTTGGTGTGTTGCGGCTACAGAGAAGGTGCAAAAGAAAAGAAGAGGCTTTTCTTTTAGGGTTTATTTTGTGCATCCTTTTTGAGAGATATTGTGAGGGATCTGAGAGTTTGTTTGAGGGTTTAGTTTGTGAGTGATTGTAAACCCTAGTTGTATTCTCTCCCTCTATTAGTAGATCTCCCCCCTCCTTGCCCCGTGGACGTAGGCAATTTGCCGAACCACGTAAAAATTGGTTGTATCGCTATTTGTGTGATTTGTAATAGCTTTTTACGTTCCCACGACGCGCAGTCCTAGAGCTGACGAGAGGAAGAGCAAATATCCCACTTTGATGGGATATTAGGCTTCAGATTCTTGTTCCCTTTGAGAAACAAGAATTCTTATTGTGACCTAACTCTTGTTGTGCTGCCGACGTGCTGCCGAAATTTCCGCTGCGCGCAACAATTTACCATATCAATATCCGCTTACCCATCTCGGATACGGATACGGATATACCTCGGTAAGGAAAATTTATAATCATATCCGTTAAAATCGGATACCGTTACGGATATACATGCGGATATATAAGCGGATATGCATGCAGATACAAAATAGATATGAGAAAACTAGATAGTATTGAGAAAAACATAGTTCATGTGATATAAAAGAGTTCGTTAATATGTCCATTATAACTGAAAAGTTAACATTAGACATCTTGATCATTAAAATTAGCCACAAATCCATAATCTAAGAATTGAAACTATCGTAAGAGTATAAGTAATATGTATTCGGATATTTCAGATACGGATACAGATATTTCACTACAAAACCATATCCGTAACCATATCCTATCGATTATAGATTTGAGTAACCATATTTGTATCCTAACGGATACAGTTACAGATATTTCCTCGGATACGGATACGGTTTAGCACCCCTAGTTTTAACCCTTTGCAAGCAGCTTCCTCCATCTATCTATTTGATTTGCTTTTAGCCTATAAACACTATGGACTACAAATGAAAAGAACATTAAGGGTTAATTGCAATAGACCCTATAAGTAAACTTTTTTTAATAAATCTTTTACTCGCAGAGAAAGAGATAATTATTTTTTGACAAATAGACCTCTTGTGGATAAGAGTTAAAAAAAACCACTTGAGGGGCAATCTGCAATTGGGTAATAATACAATGCATCTATCTGCAATAATAAACTACATGAGGTGAGGTCTCTCCGCAATTACCCCGAAAAGAATGCCAATGCTCATATTGATCATTTTCCTATATTAACAATGCGTTAACTGAAAGGTTAAGGAGACTTAACCCCTTCATAACCCGTCAAACATCAAAAATTTATACAAAGATTAAAGTGAGTTAACACTTTATAATTTGCCAAATGCCTAAAAATATACAAGGGTTAAGCTAACCACTCTAAAGGGATTAAAACGAGTTAAATCATCAAAATAAGCGATTTGCTAGTACTCCTATTTAGAAGGATTCAGAGTTAACCTCTCTATTTATAAAAAAAATAGTCAAAATCCTTGTTATTCCCGGACACTAAAAATGATCGCATGAGCTAAAATAAAACTTATTTAACGTATTAATAATTTAGTCATTCGAGTTATCGAATGGACTAACTACGTTAATACTTCTCCTTAATCCCTCTTTCTTAACCATTTGCCAAACATGAGAAACAAAATAAAAATAAATAAAGAATATCTTCGTAAGACTTCAGCAAATCTTGCTTCAAGATTGACGAGAAAATATAACAATAGGCTCGAAAAAAACGCATGATCAAAGAAAAAAGAACAAACGTCGATCTGACCATTTTTTGCTGGATTGTTTGTTCTAGATTGGATCTGATCTCAATTATCTCAATGAAATTCCTAATAATTTGCCACATTACATGTGGATATTGACTGGATTCTTTATCTCCTACGTTATAGCACAGAGGCCTTGGCAAATATTAACAAGATCTCTCAGGTCAAACCATTCAGACAAACATATTAACCCTCAGAAGATTTCAAGGGGGGGAAAAACTCTTAACAGTAACCAACACCTAATCATCACCAATCAACTTTAATGGTAAGATGTAGCTGAAATTAATTTCTAATGAGGGTTAAAATGGTAAAACATAAATATCTGAAGGGGTGAATGCGCAAAATCTCCCCTCCTATTAATTTGTGGAAATTTTGATATAGAGAGAGGAGGAAGAGACAAAAGACAGAGGTGGGGGAAGAGGATATGGGTTCCATTAAATTAAGCACCCCCTGCGCATGTGATCCTGTTCTCTTTGGTGGGCTCACCGCATGAGAACAACTCAACCAGGTCCCTCTGTTTCTTTATTGGTCCTAGATCACAGGTTTTCTTCTTGTTCTGCTCTCTCACCTTTTAGAAGAAAATGATTGATATTCATTTCATCATCTCAATCCATTTTCTGTAGAGTTTTCTAATTCTATCACGTGGGTAACGGTTAAAAACCTGACATATTAACTGTAATTTGAAAAAATGCAGTAAAAATTAATGAATTTTAAGAGAGAGAGAGAGAGAGGTTCACACACGCAAGCTTGACCATCAAAATCTCAATGATTGCCTTTTAGAATCAAAATAAGGACATGGGTTTGCTCTGGATAATGCCTTAGATCTCTATGAGGACAGAGGGGATAGCATTGAATAAGATTTGGGATTTATATTCAATGTGACAGCATCTTTGGTATCTAAATGTTCCTCCTGTGACTGTTGAGTTGTCTGGAATATTTTGTTCACAGACTTTAGGCTTACGTAAAAGAGTGAGATTTGTTTTTTTCCTTTCCTTTTTTCTTTATGTATAGATATACGAGTTTCACCTCTGCTTCCTGTTTTGATACTACCACTTTAGGATTTTGAATAAATCTGATCTCATCTTGATCCTAGGCTTCTCCACCTTTCACAGCCTGGCAACCAAGCTTACCTTTTTTTTTGGGTGGAGGGTTGCTTCGTTGTTTTTCTAAGCAATAGCTGGGGGTATTGGTCCTTTGTTCTTGTGTAAGCAGCAGGAAGTTGCCTATATCCAAGTAGGATTTTCATCGAATCTCCCCGAATCTATCAACTTCTTTGGGATTTGATTTCTTCATCGATTTTCGGGAATGGTTTTCGAATGGAATTCTTGTTCTTGGTTTATGAGTTACTGTGAGTAATGGATGAGATAAGAGGTGGGAGAGAGGAAAATTCTCAATGAGCCGCGGAGCCGGAGCTTGCAGGTGAACTATCATCTATCTTCTTATTTTCTATAGGAAAGGAGCCTGTTTACAATTTTTGGAGTTATTAAGGAGTATGAGTTTGAAATTAGTCAGTGAGGATGAAATTTGAACTTCAATTGGGAATTATATGGGCTTTTTGGTAGTTTTAAAAAAGATTTATGTGCCTTGTTTTAAAATTCATTAGAATCTCTTGGTCTAGAAAAGGTGTTGTCTAGAAATTCTGGTTCTAAAAGGGGATAGAGCTAAATTTCTTGATTAATGACTTGAAGCAAACCATATATCTGCATTAGCTGAATTTCCTCTGATCCAAATTCAGATACTTGCTTCATCTAACTTTGTTTGTATACGAAATATATGCTGGATTCACTAGGACTTTCAATTTATTTTTCTTACATATCTCCATATTACTAGGTAATACACTTCTTCGCAGATCAAACAGCCAGGATCCATCTTCTTTCTTCCTACATTTCATTTAATCCAAGCTAAATTCAGGGTCCCTTGGTTTCCTTAGGGCAAATAAGAAGAACTCTGTATTGAACCATATGAATGATTTTCCTATTGTTTTCTTTCTCTTGAGAATTTTATTAACCTGAGCTGGTGTATGCTCTCCTTTATTAAAAACTAGACACGATGTAACTTAGAAAATTCTGAACGAGAACCCGAGAATGTCATGTTCAAATGTGATGCTCGAGGTGCCAAATGTGCTATAATTCCCTCCTTAGTTAAAACTTAAGCAATTAAAAATCGATTTAATACTTGTGTCCTATGTAGCTCTATAAATGTCATAGATTCCAACTTCCCCCGGAAGCTATAAGAAGGGAAACTAGCCAAGATAATATGGATAATGCTTTTCAAGCTTTTTTTCTTCTTTTATTAATAGCTTGAGAATACTTAGATCTAAAGACAACCATTTTCACCTGTCAGGGTACAAAGCCTTCTAGGTAATTGCAGTTCTTGGATCCCAAAAAGGACAACCTAATCACTCTACATTCATTTTCACAATAATAGTTTGACAATTATTTGGCTATCATTCAAAGTGTTTGTATAGTATTAGTATTGGAGTAACGCTCGCAACTTTGTTCTTTACCGATAAGAATTAAGGCATCTCAATCATGTCGAGCCAGAAACTACCTCAATCGCTTTCCTTACTCTTCTTTTCTCTTCCTTTTGGGTTATCTCTATCTACACGAATCTCTTAACTCCCTCACATATGGATGTTTGTGTTTTTCTTTCAAAGGGATTCCTTATGAGCATGTTCTCTAGGCAGAAGGTATAAAATTGAGTTATCGACAATAAAACTTATAAGACCAGCCTTCACCTGTAGGTGAGAATAACAATGGGATTTGTAATTAAAAGACGTGTATTGTCAAGTCAGTTTTAGAAGATGGCAGGGGAGTATCTGTCACCTTCTCTCTCTTTTTTCTTTTCCTGTTTTTGTTCTCTTTTCAAGTAAACACTAACCATTCTCTCATATTGATGACATTAGGCCGTTTTAAACTGAGGGGAATATTGTCTTTAACATAATAGATTTTTCTGTTCAACATCGCGCTACAGGGTTGTCTTCGCCGTTCCTAATATCCCTCCAGATAAGGTCAAATTGATGCTGGTTGATTGTCACCTTATGTTATTAAGTTTGGTAAAAATTTTGAGTAAAATATTGTTCATTATCGCTGGAACACTGAAACCAGACTAGATATTTACTTACTATGTTACTATGAATTTCGAGTTAAACTTCATATTTTCCCCCCCTTTATTTTCTTATGCGTCATTTTCCATAGTCCTCACAATGATTAGTATTTATTTGCTTCACTTTTAGGATACTTTACATTGAATCATATCAAAGAAATCACATTTATCTTTAGGCCATTTGTTTTTATATCGAGTACCTGGTTCTGCAGGGGTATGCGTTAAAAGCTGCATTTGTCGTGAATAGGGTTTGTGATGTATTGTCAATTAATTTATTCATGTTAACACTTTATACTGTTATATTCCATAGATTGACCCATGCTAATCTCCATAGTTCCATACTGTTACAATGTCATTAAGCAAGTTCACACTAAAAGAATCTGGTGACTTCCAGAGAAAGCAATTACCATAAAAATATGCTAAATAATTTGTGGATAATAAATGACCTCAAGCACCTAATGACAACTTGTTGAGATTAACAAATTTTTTCAGGTTGGTAACATGAAATTGTCTGAATCCTAATCCCCCGGAAAACACTGTGGCGTGTGGTATATCAGGTGATGGGTCAGTACACGTTACCTGACACTTTCTGATATTTTCTTGAAGAACCAGTTTAATCCTAAACAATAATTTTGAGGGTGCATCAGATCCCAAGTATTTCTGAACGATAGTCCTAAGTTCATGAGAAGTTTCTCTGCTAGTTCCTAATATTTGGTGGTATTTACTAAATATTACCATTTGACTAAAAGCCATTTAATTTTAAAATTGACTCTTTTTTTATTTCTCTTTTATGCTAAGCTAGTACAACTGCCCTTGATACTTACTAAAAAGAAATTGTGATGGGTTCATAAGGTCCTATATACTTCTAAATAATAGGTTAGAAAAAGTTATTAATATTTTCTAGTTACTCGCATTTTTAATATTTATTAAATGGAGCCATTTGAACGGAATGCATTTGTATTAAATTGACTCTTTTTCCCCCCTCTTCTTGAATAATATATCTTGCACATAATATCTATCCAGAAATGGCAAAACGCATAGAATTGAGGATGCAGATGTCTTGTTAACACATTATTTCATGCACTATTTTGAGAAAAATCCCATAGGTAATACGGATTCTTAACAATACAAGTAGGAAATGTAGAAGTTGAATGGCTTAACCAGTATTTACACTTGTAAGTAAAACAGCAACAATTATAATAATAATAACCAGTACTTCAGTGCACACATCATAAAAAACAATAACTAGTACTCCAGTGAATGTGTGCATGACACAAATGGTCGGGAAAATGTTGTAATCAGATAGTCAAGGAAATGGATAAATATGATTTTGAGTATTTTTCTATTTTCTTTGAGATTTTTTTAAGGACATTTCTGTGATTTTTTCCCAAATGTGTGGAAATTCCCTTTGAATTTTGTTAAGTGTGAGGGCATTTTTGTTCATTTAAAAGAGCATTTAGAATTAGTTTTTCCAAACATATTTTTGTAATTCAAAAGTGTGGCTCACAATGACCAAAAAGGAGGCTTTTCTTAATATATAGTATAGATAAACAAATGACTTACACAAATGGTTTCTCACTCTTCAGGCATGGGTTTGAAACTGCAACCCTCTAGTAATCTCTTGACCACTTTTCTAAAGAATAACCATGATGTGGGAGCTCTAATTTTCACATCTCAAGATACCAAGCTCGACCTCAACAATAGATCGCGAAAGTTGGTTGGCTCAACTGGTTTTGATCAGATTCCAGTGTCAATGGAAAGAGTCCTTGAACAAAACAGCAAAGAACGTATGAGGAATACTATGATGAGGCAAGAAGAGATCTTCAAACAGCAGGTGCTACTAACTTTATTAGCATTATTGCTACTAATAAAAGTATCATCTTTCAATAGTCAGAATGGCATTATATACAAGTATTATGTTCATGAATAATGTCTTCTACCTCCATAAAAGTGCAATTAGATGTATGTAGCAAGAAATGGTATGCATGAGAGAAGAATTTATGTTCTTGAAGAATTAAGATGACTACATTTTTACGAATGTACATGCATTATTTGTGGTCTGAAGATTTTTAAGTACCAACACCTTAGTGTAAAACATTCACAAATTTTTAGATAAGTAGAAAATTTGGATTGATATTGAGTATTTTTTATTGTGAATTGAGAGTATCTCCTGGAATTATACTTCCTTTCCTAATGCAGCTAAGGAATAGGTTGATGAAGGTGATGAGAAATAATTCATGATTACTTTCTTGTCCAGTAGACACTGGCAGCCTAAAGTGATGCTCTCTCCAGTCATTACTTATTTACATTCCTCCATTAAATAAAATGGATGAGATAAAATTATTGTTTACTTCACATATTTATATTTGAATCTGTTATAATATAAACAAATGATGCAGGTTCGTGAACTCCACCGGCTATATCGAGTTCAGAAAATGCTAATGGCTGATATGAGAACTAGGGGGACACAGCCCCTCTTGCATTCAACTGCCACTAATCCGAGAGCAGTCACAGACTCGAAGAACAAATACTGGAGCAGTTCATCAACATCAGAAACAAGTCACTCTTCATACATCAGCAATCAATACCAAACCACTCCACAACTAAAATCCAAGCACAATTCAATAAAGCATAAGGGCTTCGATCTCAAAGGACCTACTGAAGAGAAAGCTGCCATCTCTTGTGTCCAATCTAAGGAATTGTGGGCTGATGAGGAGTGCGATATTGATCTATCTTTAAGTATTGGATGCAGCTCGAGCAAGAAGAAACCGAATAATTGGATTCATCCGGAGCCAACAAGTGAAAGAAGGCAGCTTCTTTCGTCTAATACAGGAGCTAGACTAGAAAGAGGGGAGGAATGCAGTGAAAGAGAAAGCTTACAGAGGCCTCCTTGGCATCTCCAAGCAATGAGTTTGAACAGAACATAGTTCGATTCTTTGTAAAAGTCTTTGAGGCTTTGAAAATATAAGAAACCGGGACAGAACTTGAATCCAAACTTATAATGTGCGTCGGAACTGAATACCTTAACTGAGACCAGATGTCCAGACTCTCTCAGTGGTGGATTAATTTGGTTTCAGAAGAGGATGATTCAAGTTTTATCAGCTTAGCTTCTTCTACACTGCTTTCTTGATTCAAGTTGTTCACGGGAGGAAGGATAATGACCAATAACAAGATGACTGCTATATTTTAACTCTTCGCTGACAGGAAATTTGCTGAGGATGTAAATGTAAGCCATTGTAATTTTTTTCATTGATATAATACTTATTTCTTTTGTTATTTCTTTTTTCTTTAATTCCGACTTCTATGTTTTGAATAATGGGACGTTTGTTTACAATGGGAACTAGCAGTAGAGTCATTCATTTGTTCACTTTAAATGTTATAGTTTGAGTTTGTATCGTTAGAGGAGTTCATAGCCTGAGAATTTGACTATTGCGAAGCGTGTGTGAGCTTAATCTCTTTCGAGAATTAATTTGTCTCGTGTACAAGTCTAATAAGAATATCCTGTGGTTGTTATCCAAGCTTTAACCAAATAATCCCATCCACATGAATACAAGTCTTCTAAATAAATCACTGAATTTATTTCTACCATGGTTTTAATCCGTCATCAATCCTCTCTCTTCATCTTAGCATAAGAACAATAAATTATCATATTGTTATAGATAAATAAATAAACAGTTACAGAGAATTAATCTACAAGCTGAATGTAAAGCAGGGGCATTTCTGACCTCTAACCATCGTCAGTCTCTATATATCTCCACAATCGCCAACTTCTTTAATCACTTCCCGATCGAATAGAGAATATTACTTTGCTTAATCTAACTTGATGTTAATTCCTCACGGGATAATAACTGCGATCTTTCTACCATATCTTCACATTTTCCTTGTATATGCTTTTCAGTTAACTTCATACTCATTAGGCACCTTACCCAACGAACAGAAGTTACGCTGTAGAATTATTGTGAAACATATCCAAATAAAGTGTGATTCAACATCATAAGAAAGAGCTTTATCACATAATCCCATGTCAAATTCACCAAAAACCACCACAACTGCACTCCCCATTCTGAAAATGGTGGAACCTCATATTATCCCTCACAACAATCTCCCTCCTCATCACCTTGGACACCATCCTCATCACAACATGGCAATCCTCACACATCCTCAAATTCTTCATTATCCGAATCATTTCCCCCACTTCAGTCATCAAAACCCCAAACGCCACTGCCAGCTTCTCGCTATGTCCCTTGAGAATCCTCTCCTTCTCGTCATCATCAACGTCATAAACAATAGAGCTCAGCACAGGCTTGTAGCCATCATCCTTCAACCTCCTCAATATCTCCTCCAGTGCATCCTTAATCTCTCTTGACCGCGGATGCCTATTATCACCTGCAAAGAATTGATGGGCTCTTCCGTCCTTTGTCTCCAGCCAGCTCGTTGATGGGGTCTTTTTCAATCCTCTCTCCCTCATCAGTTTCCTAACGTCTGATACCTCACTCCACATCCCTGCAGATGCATAGATATTTGAAAGCAAGACATAGTTTCCAACCCCGTTTGGTTCGAGCTCAAAGAGACGATTAGCAGCAATTTGAGCAATCGTAGTATTCCTATGTATCCGACAAGCACCAAGCAATGCCCCCCAAACTCCAGCACAGGGTTCTATAGGCATCGCTTTCACAAAATCCAATGCTTCTTCCATGAGCCCAGCTCGGCCCAATAAGTCAACAACACACACATAATGGTCATCAGAGGGTGTGATATTGTACTCATCCTTCATTAGAGAAAAATAGTATCGGCCTTCTTCAACCTTTCTGGCATGGCTACATGCCGTCAGAAGCCCAATGAATGTCACCCAATTAGGCTCGATTGAAGTCTTACCCACCATTTCTTGAAACATATTGATTGCTTCGCCAGCTCGGCCATGAGCTGCGAGGCCACTAATCATTGCGCTATAAGAATACACATTTCGCTCCTTCATAGAATTAAAAACAGCGTATGCCTCATCGATGAATCCACACTTTCCGTACATATCAATCATTGCCGACCCAACAACAACATTATCCTCCACAATCCCAACTCTTTCAGCCACATCTCGAACCCAATGAGCCCATTTCCCTGTACCTAGCTGAGCCGCTGCTGAGATTGCACCCACGAGCGAAACCTCATCGATAGCAAACCCAGCTCTCTGCATCCTCTCAAACGTCTCCAGTGCCTCCTTGGGCCTCGCATTCTGCACATAGCACGTCACCATTGCAGTCCAAGCGACCTCATCCTTCTCCCTCAACCTCCCAAAGATGCCCTCCGCAGAACCCATATCACCGCTGTTCGAATAAGCGACAATCATCGCAGTCCCAGAGAATAAATCTCTCTCAGGCATTTCATCAAACACCTTGCGTGCAAAACCCAGCTCCCCGCACCTCACATACAAATCGATAAGCGCGTTCTGCACGTGCAAATCAGAATCAAACCCACCAACAAATACCGACTGCGCGTGAACTTGCACGCCTGAATTCAAACATTCCGACGATTTGAGAAGCGCGGTGAGAGTGAAGGAGAGAGGAGGGCAATGCGGGCAAAGGCGGCGCATCGAGCAGTAGACATCGAAAGGGTTCGGGGAGGCGCGAATGAGGGAGGTCCAGAGGAAAGAATTGGGCGAGGGGACTTGAGAGAAGATGGGCAGATGGTAACAGGAGAAGGGGACGTTGAGGTTGGAGAGGCGGCGGAGGAGCTTGGAGACGAGGAAGTTGCTGCCGTGGAGGCCGAGGCGGAGGAGGGCGGCGTGGGTTTGCTTGATTTGGGGGAGGCCGCCGGCGGCGGAGATGGCGGAGGAGAGGAGGGACTCGAGAGCGTGAAGGCGGCGGAGAGGGGAGATGGAGGGGGCGTTTGAGGGGAGGACATGAAGAAGGGACATTTGACGGGGGTTTACGGTTCGGAGCGGTCATGAATTCCGCTTCCCTCCATCCTCTAGGCTAATTAGCACTTAAATACCCTTGTAGTTCCTCTAATTTGCACTTATGCACCAATCACTTGTTTTTGGCAGCACTTGTGTACCCTGAAGTCTTTAGGCCCCGTTTGGTTGCAAAAGAAAAAGCCCGAAAGCCCGACAAAAGCCTGACTTTTATTAGACTTTAAGCCAAAATCGCCTCTTTTAAAAGGCGATTTTGGCTTAAAGCCTGACAAAAGTTAGGCTTTTGTCAGGCTTTCAGCCTTGTTATTATGCAACCAAACGGGACCTTAGAATTTGTACTTTAGTATCTCGTGTAATGCAAACTTGAGAAATCTCTCTTGAATTTTACCACCACGTGGCACTCACGGGTGTATACTTTTTTTCAGCCCTTAATATTTTGTCGTTCTATTTTAAAATATAATTGGGTTAGATTTAAAATAGAGTTATGGTAAATCTAAAATTAAATTCAACAAACATTAAGGGTTAACATCACTTTTGCATAATAGAAGGTATTAAAACTGCAACTCTTAGAAGCTTTAGGGTACGTAAGTGCTGCCAAAAATAAGTGAGGATGTACAAGTGCAAACTTGGAGAACATACAGCGCGCACTTAAGTGCTAATCAGCCCTCGTTAAAGGAAGAGTGATTGACATATGCATCCTTGTGCTACAGAAGATTAGCCATTTACGTATTAATTTTAAATCTTTTTTTCATTGGGACTTTGATTCCACCGAGTTGAAATGGAGTTATTTGTCCATTATTTGCACCTATCATGTGGGTGTCTCATGACAACGTTAATTGCTGCAGAGAAATTGACTCAAGTTTTAGCGTTGCAGAGCAATAACGAGTTGAACGCGTACTTTTCCTGTAGTGCAAGAGGTTTTAAGCTCTAATAAAAATATTTGGAGGCAATAACAAGCTAACTTCATGTAGCACGAAGAGTTTGGAGTGAACACAACTTTTGCGTTATTCCCCTTTTTACATCTGCGGTGCAAAAACAAAGGAGGCCGTACTCACAGCTCTCTCTAAATTATAAAACTAAATAAAACAAAAAGTTAAAAAATACAAAAGGGGCAAAAACACACAGTAAAGGAAAATTTGAAAGATAAGAAGCAGATACGAAGAACTGCTGAAACGCACGCTCAGAACGCTTAATCCTACATAAAAAACACATAGGAGTCATCCATTTCTCTTAATTTTTTGATGCATTAAGCTACTTCTCGCGTGTTATACTGTGTAATGTTGCTGAATGGTTTCGATGTCGAGACCCTTTAGCTTCACCACTGATTCCACATGGCCCTTCAATGTGTGCAGTTCCCTCAGCCTGAAGACGAAAAAAAATCCGGATATTGAGGTTTCTATTCGGAATGCTGTCTATTATCACTACGATTTTAATCACTTATCATCGAACTCACCTTGCAATCTCTGCTCTTCTCTTGGCCTGCTCGGCAATCTCTGAGAGCTCATAGTAGCTGCTCTTCTCAGCCGTGCGCTTGGTTGTCTCAGCAGGCTGAAGCCCATGAAGAGTTCTCTGGGCTGTAGCCCATTGGGCTTCCCTTTCTTCTCTTCCATAATCCTTCTTGGTAGTGAATGCAGTCTGTAATCAGAGTACATAGAAATTAATATAAAACATTGAACAAACAAAGGAAATGTTAGGAGATAAAGTTGAAGAGCAAACCTTCTGTTCGAAGAGGTTATTCCAAGCCTTTCCGCTAAGAATGTATCGGATGGCAAATTTAAACCAATCTAGGGGGAAAAAGAATACGATGCTGTAAAGCCAGATAACTCCGGCCCAGCCCCAACCGATGCCTTTGATTCTTGCAAAGCCCCAGTCGGCATAGACTGCTATGAGAGTTGCCACCTGCGAGAAAAATAATTGAGGCACTTGAAGATTTAAATCTCTAACATATAACATTTTTGAGTAATAAAATGCTGCATCAACAGAAAATACAACTCCACTTGTCTAATTCGCTACAAATAGAACAAAATCTTGTTATCTAGTCCTAATGGAAGTGTTTAATAAGAAAATAGATAGGTTTGTGTTTTTAATAAGAAAATAATGAAAATGGCAAGTCTGTTAATCAACTCTTTTCTTTATTTAAGCAAAGCGAGATGAACTAGGAAGGTTGAGGCATTGAGCTATTATTGACATTGAACCCTGCGAGTGGAGGGCAGTTTCAAGAAGTGTATGAACTATTAGTCCAAAATTAGTAGGCACAGGAGAGGAGACTTACAAGCTGAGCCACGATGAAGGCACTGACCAAGAGAAGCCCAGGGCGCTCAACAAAGAACCAGCTGCGAGATCGAGTCACAAATATGAGAGCTTGGCTCACAATACTGACTTGCAGGTATAAAGCAGACATCTTTCTTTATTTAAGCAAAGCGAGATGAACTAGGAAGGTTGAGGCATTGAGCTATTATTGACATTGAACCCTGCGAGTGGAGGGCAGTTTCAAGAAGTGTATGAACTATTAGTCCAAAATTAGTAGGCACGGGAGAGGAGACTTACAAGCTGAGCCACGATGAAGGCACTGACCAAGAGAAGCCCAGGGCGCTCAACAAAGAACCAGCTGCGAGATCGAGTCACAAATATGAGAGCTTGGCTCACAATACTGACTTGCAGGTATAAAGCAGACATCATTTCGTCTTCCCTGTGCCTCAATGATCTCACACTGAATTTGTCCTGAAGATTGGCAACAAAATGAAAATTAGTCATCATTAGGAAAGCATATCACAGTTTAGTAATAAAGGAAAAAGATTCCTTACAGAGAAGAAGTCGGTCTCCTTCATAGCCCAGAAGAAGATGACAGTCATCAATGCCAAATAACTGCCAAGGACTACACCTGTAGCAAAAATTTCCTTGAGCTTCCAACTGTCGGGTAATGGAGATGGCTTCACTCGATCCTTTGAAATAGTCATGATTGTACCTGAAACAATGACCACGAGACACAAGAGAAGCAGTTTCAACATCACGACAATAAATGAACGTGTACCAGAGGACACATGGTTAATGGTATTGACATTTAAGTTTCTAGAAAAACTTACCATCATTAAGGATGACAATGATCAAAACCATGAAAGGGGAGAAATCAAATTTCCATATCAGTGCAATAAGCATGAATCCTAGCTGCAATAGTTTCGAAGTATGAAAATCACCATACAGGTAATGAAGTATAGTTAGCAAAATTTTCTAGGACTTATTGAAGTACATACCACAATACGGATGGTAATTGAGACGGCATAAATCTGCAAAATAATTTCTAGGACTTATTGAAGTACATACCACAATACGGATGGTAATTGAGACGGCATAAATCTGCAAAATAGTGAAAAGCAAGATGAGTTAGCCATGAAGTACATCAACTTAACAAATTGGTAGATATGGTTACGTGCAATTAGACTCACGGTGTAATTCTTCATTCTCTGGAAAATAGCTCTACTAGTAAGAACAGCACTTATAATCACACTTAGACCAGGTTCAGTGAGAACAATATCAGAAGCACCTCTAGCAGCATCAGTAGCATCAGCAACTGCGATGCCAATATCAGCCTTCTTTAAAGCTGGGGCATCATTCACACCATCTCCTGTCATTCCACAAATATGCTTCTTCTCTTGCAACTTCTTCACGATTTCATACTTGTGTTCTGTTTTAAACAAAAATCCAAGCAAATATTTCAATTACTGTAATGAAATTAAGTAGTTTGCTGTCAAACATATGATCATTAAACAAACCTGGAAAAACTCCTGCAAACCCATCAGCCTTCTCGATCAATTCATCAACAGGAAGTGCAGCTATCGACGCATCCTTGTTTTGTCCAAGCAAGGAAGAGGACGGATACATGTTTGTCCCCATTCCAAGCCTTCTACCAGTCTCCTTGGCAATAGCAAGCTGATCACCTGAAAAAAAAATGTATAGACCATATTGACTAGAATACTCCATGGTATTATAATATTAAAAAATAATTAGAATAAAATTTTTCTAGTTACCAGTAATCATCTTGACATTAACACCAAGATTGAGAGCCCTGCGGATAGTTTCAGCACTGTCATGCCTTGGAGGATCAAATAGAGGCAAAAGCCCAACCAATTGCCATGGACCCCCGGGGCTCTCTTTGGTCCTCTCAGGAACTTCCTGTGAAATAAACAAAATGAGTCATCTCTACTACGGAGTCGTTAACTCAGAAACATTCAAAAATGAGAAGACTTACTTGTCTTGCAACAGCCAGTGACCGAAGCCCACGTTCAGCAAATTTATCAATCACACTGTGAACCTTATGCCTAACATCCTCCTTGCAGTTGCAAAGGTTTATTATCTATTTCAAATAAGATATAAAATTCACAAGAATTAGCAAAAGGTTGTAAAAGAAAGCAGCAGCTATAACAACAATTACAAATGATTTTAAATGGCATACCTGTTCTGGAGCACCTTTACTTACACGGTGCCACTTGCCATCAGCATCAATGTAAGTTAGAGCAGTTCTTTTATCGACTGGGTTGAATGGGAGAAAGTGGACTTCAGTGATACCAGCTCTTGCCTGGGAAAATTGATAGGAAGAAAGTTATTTCTTGTTTCACTGAATGAAGTAAGAGCTTCATTAAAATGAAGGCTTCTATTAAGTTTTACCTCTTTAGGGTCTGCAAGCATTCCGACCATGGCAGCATCAATAGCGTCCTGATTCTCTGTCCTTGATGCTCTAGCAGCCAAAAGCATAACATAATCTTTCTCTACATTTTTGGCAAACACCTCGATAAGATTGTTATCAATGCTGAGTTTATTAAGGGTCAGTGTTCCTGTCTTATCACTACATAGTACATCCATTCCAGCCATCTCCTCTATTGCAGTCATTCTCTTAGTAATTGCTCCTTGTTGAGATAATCGGTGGGAACCAATAGCCATTGTGACAGATAGAACAGTGGGCATAGCAATCGGAATACCACCAATCAAGAGCACTAATAGGTTGTCAATGCCATCCCTATACTTTCTCTTCTGAATTGGGTACATGACGATGATTTCCACAGCAATTCCAACAGCAATGGAGCAGATGCAGAAATTACCGATGGCGGTGAGAACTTTCTGGAAGTGGCCAACTTGGTTAGTGCTATCAACCAAATGAGCTGCCTTTCCGAAGAAAGTGTGGACCCCGGTGGCAATAACAACTGCCTCGATCTCACCCTGCTTGCAGGTGGAACCAGAGAAAATCTCATCACCTGGGTTCTTGGTCACAGGAAGGGACTCCCCAGTGAGGGCAGATTGGTCAATCTTTAACGGGTCTCCTTCAAGAAGCCGGGCATCAGCAGGGATGATGTCTCCCAACTTTACACTGATGATGTCTCCAGGAACTAAGATCGCTGCATCCTCCTCACTCCACCGCCCATCTCTAAGCACCTTCATGAGTAAGTCATAAAGAAGAGTCAGAGAAAGAAATGAGAATATCATTAGACAATTTAGACTTCATAAGTTGGATTGGTTTGATTTTTGATGGGTAAGCCAGTTAATACGCAAAGTACCTGTGGAAGTATTTGATTGCACTTTTATAATTGAGATCTTGTAGGATAGTTACCTCATTGGTAACAAAATCAAGCCTAAACTACATAAACAATAAAGTGTCTTTTCTATACACCAACCGTCATATTAATTTTTTCTTAGGCCAGAAAAGTGGTGACAATTCGAAAGATGACATGAAGAATTAATCAATAATATATGCAACTCGAGGTCTAGATTTACCCATGGGTACAATTTACTAGTTTCCTTGTACTATATGTAGTCTGCGCAAGCATTAAATTGCTTATAAGAAGTTTGCTATGGCCTTTGATCAGGAAAGCAAAAGGGTATAAGAAGTCCTTTCAAGATTAGGATCTATTTCTACCTTGTTGTGGAGGTCAAGATTCTAAGACATGATGATGAATCTAGAGAAGAAATAAAATAGTATGTGAATGGAAGAGAAGATTAAAAAGAAAAATCATCAATGATTTTCTTTCATCGACTTGTTTTCAGGAAGGAACGGTTCCTTCTTAACCATACTGCTATTATCTAAGGACACGGAAGATATTATGTCTACTTCAGTTGCTAAGAAATAACTGATCTGGGAGTTGGCAGCTTTGAGCAGTGATTTAGGGATCAGAACGGATTCTATTAGTCTTAGCATAAACTAAGAGAGGTAGCCAAAATGGCCATTCTATCAAAACTAAACTGAGACATCATTCTATAGAACTCCAATATCAATTTATTTTTGTGATAATGGCAAGTTAGAAGTGTTAACGACAGTAATTCATTGAACAACCACTTCAATTAAAAAGTTGTTTTATTTTCAATTACATAGAGATGTAGATAACCTCTATCCTCTCCTCTACAATAATTCATTAAACATCTTGACTGCCTTTTCCTATTTTTCAAAGACGAAGCAATACTGAACAGTTATGGTGTGTTTGGGAGTTTACTTAGGGAAGGGAAGGGAGGGGAAGGGAGGGGAATTTTTCCCCTTCCTTCCCTTCCCCTCCATTACACCCCAATTTGGGGTGTAAGAATTTGGGCCAAATTTCCCCTCCATTCCCCTTCTCTACCCTACAAAATGAAACTCCCAAACAAGGTTAAAATGAAATTTCCCTTCCCTTCCCCCTCTCTACCCTCCATCCAAACAGGCCTTTAAGGTCTGTAATATCCCCACAATACAAGAGCTCTAGTATCCAGACAACCAAACATAACCTGAGCAAATAACGGTGAGCCAGAAGCTACTGTCTTTCTTTTTTTTTTTTTTTTGCGTGTGTGGGGGGTAATAAAGTGTCTTTCTTATGAGATGCAAATAAAGTATAATAAGCGAACAATGATAATAAAAAATCACATGAATCACCAAAATCATCTTAATCTGTTTCTCAAAAGATACACAATTATACCTTAGTTTTGGGAGCAAGCCCGGCCATGAGAGCAGCAGCAGCATTACCAGCATTATTCTCTTCAATAAAAGAGATGGTTGAGTTCACAACAAGAAGCACGATAATACCCACAAAATCTTGCCAATCTGGAGCCTTGCCTCCACCATTGGCCAAGGCAATGGCCATGATTGCAGCCATCTCCATGACCCATGACAGAGGGTTCCACATAAACCCTAGAAACTTTAGGATTTTGCTTTCCTGTTTATAAAATTAATCATCAATTAAGAAACTAATCGTCATATCTTCATAAATTAGAATGGGTATTTTCTTGATATGAAAAAGATTGTACCTTTTTCTCTTCGAGTTTGTTGGGTCCAAAGATTTGGAGCCTGTTGGCTCCCTCCTCTGAAGAGAGACCTTCCTTCGTGCATTTCAGCTGCGCAAACACTTCCTCTACAGGAATTCGCTCCTAAAGATTAAACGTAAATGAAAACCCTAATTAGCATAAGAGATCATTGTGTTTTTCCCCAAACTTTTTTCTGTTCTTTTTCTTTTTAATATTCCTTTTGCTCTTTTCTCACTTTGTAACTAGGGGTGCTAAAGAATGGAATCAAATCGAATACTAAGTTGTTCGTACTTGTATTGTTTAAAATTATCGAATTTGAATGCAGACTCTAATATTTAGAGTATGGAATTTTTTGGATTCGAACTCAAATTGTTGGTATTTGATATATATTCATGAATACTTATCGAATATCAAAGTATATTTATTCCACTAGAAAATTTGATTTTCAAATAGTATTTAAATTCATATATTATATATATATATATATCAAAATTTTTATTAGAAAACAGATTTAAAATTATTTAAGTCTTAAAATCAGTACATAAAACTCAAGTATTTAATAAACAAACGAAACGTTCATATGTGCAAGAATATAAATAATAAGTGATCGAATTTTAAATAAATATTTGATAAGCAAACGAATCGAATATACATCTGATTAAATTTTATTCGTTAGTAAACTTGAATACTAAAAAAATATTTGTTTAATGATAAATGAACCACCAAATCGAGTATGACCGAATAGTTACCCAAATAATCATGGAACTATTTGTTAATTATTTGGTTTATTTCCATCCCTACTTGCAACTTTAAATTGTAGACCATTTAACTTCTTGGGGTAATCCGGACAAACTAATTATTGAAAGAACTTTAATGAAATAGAGGCAAAAATGCAAAGAATAGAAAACACTAGAACTTTTGTGTAACAATAGTCAAAACTTTGAATTATTGCTATAAAAAAGAAGAAAAAAGTTAGGCAGATAATAGTCATAATGTGGGCCCATGACAGCTAAAGGCAACGAACTACTGACTCCAAGTGGGAGACAGAAGCCAAATGCTATTAAATTCAAATCTGTTTTATCCTAAATTTCATTAGTCTAGGGTTATAATGAAGGAAACTTCACTAATAAAGAGAATAACTCGCTACAAACCCTTCCAAGTGAGAAATACCTAGTATATTTAAATTTTTAGTAGCTTTACTAAATTATATTAATGATGCATTAAAAAAATATTAAATTAGGGTAATCATTCTTCCGGTGAATGGCAGTAGATGGAAAACTGGATATTTTCTTCTTAATCTATGTTTAAACTAGTCCTCTACAAATTTACACAATCTCAACTTTAATTCTAAGCTCATTTAATTTCATATCTAAAACAGAAAGGAAAAAAAAAAAAAGAAGAACGAAGAAAAATATGAGAAATAACTGAAGAGAGGAAGTAGAAAAAGCTAACATACAAGATCAACAGTTTCGTTCTTGATCTCCTCGAGGGTAATCCCCTTATCCTCGCCCATCTCCGACTCCAAGAAGAAAGTTTCTTCAGAGAATGAGGGAGGAGCAAAGAGAAACAATGATTATTGTACCCTTTAATTTCCCAAAAAAAAAAAATACAAAATAGTGTAGAAAACGTGGAAGAAAGAAAGGAGAGGGGATGAGAATGCTCCCCTCCATTACCACTTGAATTTATACCCAGCAAAAACTTCGGTGTCAGGGGGGGGCCCAC